GGAGACTGAGGAAAGTTGCCAAGCAGATAATTTGGGAAGAATTCAAGAGCGTACCTGTACAACCAATACAAGAGATGGCAGATAACAACAATGCTGGTGGCAGAGGCCTCAATGCAAATAACCCTACTTCCAAGATTGTTGGACACCATTATGACTCTGGTGTTCAATAGGCCAAATTCAAGTATACTCAGGCCGACGGTGGAGGAAAATAATTTTGAGCTGAAGCCATCTTTAATTACTTTGGTGGAGAGGGCTCACTTTTCTGGTGCTGAGGATGAAGACCCTCATGAGTTCATAGATCGATTTCTGATGGTCTGAGATACTACTAAGCATAATGGAGTGTCTGTCGATGCTATCAGGCTTCAATTATTCCCTCTTGCTGTTAAGGGAAGGGCTCTCAGTGGATAGAAAGGCAGTCAGCTAATAGTATCATGACATGGGAAGACTTGTCAACAAAGTTCTTTGCCGAGTTCTTTTCTATGGAGAAGTACAACCAGCTGGTAAATGAGATCACCAACTTCCGCCAGCTTGAAGGAGAATCATTGTGTGCAACCTGGAATAGATTCCAGGAACTTATCAGAAAGTGTCCACACTATGAGGGAGGCGATGATAGAAAGGTGGCAATCTTCTTTAATGGCATCTCTCCTGAAACAAGGTTGGTGATTAATAGTGCAGCTGGAGGTTCTATTCGGCAGAGTATATCTGAGCAAGCTCTCGACTTGATAAAGAAACTGGCCAGAAATGAGAATGAGAGCGTACCGATTCAAGCAAGAAGATGAGTGATAAATTTGGAGAGCAATGATGCTATGATTGCTGAGCAAAAGCTGTTGTCCAAAAAGTTTGACAGCTTGAATGAAAAGTTTGAGAAACTTCAAGTGTCCAAGGTTCAATCAACTCCTGTGGTTTTTGAATATTGTAAGTATAACACCTCGTAAATCTAAATATGGAATTATATGCTATAATGTGGGTCAAAAGGGAAGGATTAGTGAAAATCCGGAAATTAAGGCCAAACTGAGTGAAAAGGGGCAAAATGGTAATTTACCAAACACGTAATCCGAGGCATGAAAAATTGAGTAGAAGACCTCAAATGATAAAAATAATACCGGAAATGAATTCAGGACGAAAAATCGAGTGAATAGGCAAGTTTTGAAAATTTTGATGAATAGTGATTTTACCGGTGTAAAAATACTGCGGTATAATGGTACTGATAAGAGTGAAATTTTATCAGTATTTTTAGGAAACAAAAATATGTCATGAACCAGAAAAATACGTAGGTTATGAATTTGTGGTTGAAATTAGTGATTGATTAAAGTTAAATCGCGTGTGGGACCCACCTAAAGAACTAAATCACTTAAGTGACTCATGACCCATGTTTTCCCTCATTTTCTCTCTCTTCCCTCTCTTCTCTCCCCGTGCGCGTGTTCTTCCATGGAAGGGGCTCCAAGCTTTGGATTTTGGGGCTCCCTTCTCTAGCCATCCAACCACAAAACACCCAACATCAAAGTTGTTCCTCTACCCGTTGTGATCACCTTTCATCCTAAGAAATCTTCCAAAGAGTGAGTGTGTGAGGAGATCCTCCTTGGTGATGGGGTGGCGGTTTTGAGGAGTTTGGGGGCCATTGGTGGTGCTTTGGCTTGAATGGACCCTTGATCATCAACCTTTGGAGCCTTAGGAAGCTATTGGTTGTAAGTATTCCTAGTTTCATGGAGTTTTTGTGGAAATCACAATTTGGGTTTGTGTTTAATGAGGTATTAATGAATGAGATGTTTAGGAACCTTTAATGATGTTACTCCTTTGTAAATTGTTGCTTGTAATGATGAATAATGATGATTGAACCAATAAAATTTATGGTGATATATAATTTTATAACTTAGTGAAATTTGGTGGAAATTGATGAAATGGTGGGTTGTGATCATGAATGTATTGGTTGAAAATTGTTGATTGTTGGTTGGTATGAATAAATAGTAGGATTATATGAAGTGCATATTTGTTAGAATGGAGGAAAAACCTTGGGAGTACCATCTAGTGAGGAATTCGAACCATGTAATGGTTCGAAGGAATTATGGAGGTGAAAAATGTGTACAATTGATGGTTGGTAATGTGTAAATAATACGATTATATAATGAGTATGAGTGTGGAATTGGATTGAATACCCCTAGGTTGATGGGAATGAAGAATTCGACCTATTGAGGTCATGGATGGTTAGATGATGTAAAAATGATATAGTTGATGTTATATGAACATGATCGGTGTTTAAATGAATGGTAGGTTGGTTTGATGTAGTGAAATTGAAAGGATGAATGTTGGATGTGTTGTGTGTGTGAGATTTCAACCATATTGAAGGAAATAAGGAAAATGATGTGAAAATGTGGTATAACCAATGAGTGATGCCTTAGTGCATAAATGGTGATTTAGTTTAATGACTAAAATGGTTGAAGTAATTGGATTACATGTAGTTGGCCATTAGGCCTAAGTTGTTTTGTTGAGAATTATTGTAATTGAAAGTGAATGGGTTGTCTTGAAATTGTATTGATGATCATGTTGATTGATCATTATAGGTTTCCTCTCTCGGACTCAATAGAGGAGAATTAAGCTTGGAGCTTACGTTGTGGAGCATTGGCTTCAGAATTGAGGTAAACCTTTGGAACTTGGGTTTTATTCCCTCGTGTGTTCCACCACCCCTAGTGGAAGGTTGTGGTTGGATTTGATGCCTTTGATTATGTATAAATGCATGTTCATGCATTATTGACATGATTGTGTGACATGCTTGGAGCATGTTGTGTGATATAATTGTGATCTCTGGCCAGTAGATGTGTGTTGGTTTGGACTTCCGCTGGAGATATCCTTTGGAGATTCCGGTCGGGTTTTGCCGTGGAACCGACTCTGGGAGCGGTACCAGGATGATCCAAACGAGGGACTTCCGCTGGATAGGGCTCATGAGGAGTTCCAGTTGGGTTTTGCCATGGGGTCGTCTCAACCATGGGAGAGGCACCAGGAAGATTCCGGGAGTTATATGATGGGGTCCTTTAAGGGAATCCTGATGTGGATGTCCTTGGATTTGTGCCCAGTTGTTGTGTGATATATGTATGTTATGCATTTTATATGATGATCATTGTATGCACATTGAGTGAGCCATGGGGTGGAGTGATCCTCTAGTACCCTTGGTTTACTGAGATATATTTGTATATCTCACCCCGCGTTTGGGGGCACCATTTCAGGTCATGTTGAGCATGGAGGATCTTCGGGCAAGAGGCCCGCTTAGTGGAATAGTAGAGCGTGAGGATCATTTGGAGGGCATGATATATTGAAGGATTCCATTTGATGTACATAGCATAGTATTTAATATTGTGGACTTAGGTTGTGAACTTGTTGCATGTGGATATTGCCATGCTCTTGTATATTTATGATTATATGTTAAGTCCTTTAAAAATTGATGTATAGTTATGTCTCTTGTTATTTTTGTATTTTGAGTGAGCATGGGACTTGTCCATGGCCACATAATTGTATTTGAGGCATTGGAAGACTTGAGTTGTAAATAGACCATTGGTGGTGTAAAATGGCTATGATATTGCAAATGGTTGTAACGGATGCACTCGTAATAAATATGCATGATGGAAGGGCTTAGAGCCTACATTAATACTTGTGTAAGGTGTATAATAAGTATCAAGGTGTTAGGAGTATGTTACATCACTCATTTTGGGTCTTAAAAGCTGTCATCTGTCATTTTTGCTGCATAGTAATCGATTATTTTTCACTGGTAATCGATTACCGGCAACAGGGAACGAAAAATTGAGCTTCTGTCTTCAAAGTAATCGATTACCACAGCATTGGTAATCGATTACCTAGTTCAGTAATCGATTACCAATCCTTGGTAATCGATTACCAGAAAACAGAGGAGCACAATTTAAGGTTCTGACTTCTACAGTAACCTTGGGTAATCGATTACCTCAAGGATGGTAATCGATTACCACTGTGTTAAATTTTAAAAATGTGTTTTCTAAAAGCTAAAATGAATGGTATTGCTTAGAGAGATTATATTTGGTATGTTTTATGCTTTCGCGAGTTTTGCATTTACAATTATGGCGTTGTTTTAATTGATTACGGAAATGGTTAATGTTTAAAGAAAGGAATGTAATAAAAGAAAAAGTTTACCCGTAATTTAATTAACTCAATTACTATGATTGTAACTGCGCTTAATACCATATGCAATGATAACATTACCGGTACGTAACGAGCTGTTACAGTAAGGAAGCTCATGAGTCTAATGAGTTCTCTACTCTAATGGGAGATAATCCACAGCAGTTGCAAGTGAATGGGGTTTGGTATGAACAGAAGCCCCAACAAATTTTTTCAAGAAATCGAAATTTTCCTTCTGGAGGTAATTTTCAGAGGAGATGTCAAGGAGGTGGTCTTGACTATGGTTCCAACAACTATCTGCAACCTCCCCTCTTCCACAAAAGGAACCTTCTGATTTGGAGAAGCTAGTAGGACAAATGGCTCAATATTCTAATGCTTTCATGGAAGAGACTAGAGCTAATACCAAGAACATAAATGCATCTATCAGAAATTTGGAGAATCAAATTGGCCAACTAGCTAAGCAAATTACTGATAGCACTCCATGTACTTTTCCTAGTAATACAATTACTAATCCAAAGGAAGATTGTATGGCTATCACAACTAGAAGTGGTAAAGTGGTGGTAGCTCCAGAAAAGCCGAACATAAATGTGGGAGCTGATGAGAAGCTTAATGAGGTTAAGGAGCCAGAAAAAGAAGTGGTAATTCCTTCTAAGGTTGTGAAGCCTCTTCAGAAAGGTGAAGAAGAAGAACAACTGATTGTTGCTGAAAAGAAAAAATTTGAGATGAGTCCTGGATATGTGAGAGCTATGGCACCTTATCCTGAAAGATTCAAGCAAGATGCTCAGAAGCAACAGTATGGAAGGTTTCTTGATATTTTCAAAAAGTTGCATATAAATATCCATTTTGTTGAAGCCTTGGCTAGCATGCCAAATTATGCCAAGTTCATGAAGGATCTATTGTCTAGGAAACATAAGCTGCAAGAATGCAAGACTGTGACACTCACTGAAGAGTGTAGTGCAATAATACATAATAAGTTTCCTCCTAAGCGTCATGATCCAGGGAGCTTCACTATTCCAATTGCTATTGGTAACACTAATGTTGGCAAAGCTTTGTGTGATCGTGGGGCGAGTATAAATTCGATGCCCTTGTCTGTGTGTAAATCTTTGGGGATCTCTAAGCTTAATCCTACTAAGGTTTCCTTGCAACTTGCTGACAGATCTTTGAGGAAACCCACTGGTATAATTGAAGAAGTCCTTGTGAAAGTGGACAAGTTCATATTTCCAGCAGATTTTGTGGTGTTGGACATGGAAGAGGGAACTGAAATGCCTCTTTTGTTATGAAGACCTTTCTTGGCTACTGCTCGTGCTATGATTGAAGTTGAACAAGGGAAGCTCGAGTTAATGATGAACAACGAGACCATCACCAACAATGTCTTTGATTCTATGAGACAATCTTCTGACAAAGGTGATTGTTTCAGACTTGATGTTTTAGAAGAAGTGGTGAAAGAAGAGAAATCTTCTAGTCAGAAGCTTGCTGAAGAACTTGAGGTACGTGATATTGTTTCTTTTGAGGAAGAAAAGAGTATTGTGTATGAGGTTCTTGAGAAGAAGGATTCTAACAAAGAAGATTGTGCCCCAAAAGTAGAGTTAAAGGAGCTGTCGAAAACTCTTAAATACATCTTTTTGGGAGATAAGGAGACTTACCCTGTTATCATTAATAAGGGATTGTCTTCTGAGCAGGAAAGGAGGCTTAATCCTATAATGAAGGAGGTGGTGAGAAAGGAAGTGGTGAAACTTCTTGATGCTGATATAATTTACCCGATTTCAGATACTGGTTGGGTAAGTCCAGTGAAGACTGTTCCGAAGAAAAGAGGCGTCACTGCGGTCCGCAACGAAAAAAATAAACTAATTCCGACCAGCATTATTACTGGTTGGAGGATGTGTGTGGATTACCGGAGTTTGAATGCCGCCAAAAGGAGGACCTGTGAGAGAGACACCGAGACTCTGTCTCTCAAAGAAAACAATACTTGAAAGAGGTAACCGTCAGGCTCGTGACGTTAAACAAGCGCTCATTGGGAGGCAACCCAATGTAGAGTCTTTAAAAAAAAAAACTGGCGCTACCAGCACCAGTTTGGCGTTGTTGCTGCGCCAGAATATGAGAAAATCATAGAATTGGCGCGAGACCCGCGCCGCAGTAAAAAAAAAACCTTGTTTTCTGATATTGATTCCAACTATTGGTTTGTTCAGTTTTATTTTTGAGATAAAGTTGGAATCAAATCTGGGAGTGGTGGTTTGCTCTGAACTTCCGGATTGATTACATCTCCTTGCTGCTGGAGATTATTTTATTTTCATTATTTTAGTTTATCTTTTTAGAACTTTTGCTGTTTTATTATGACCGTAGGTTGATGTTAGGGTCATTTAGATGATGTGGGTTTGTATATGTCCCATACATTCTGATGTTTTTATTGTACAGATTATAGTTTATTCTATATACTGCTGTTTGTTCCATGGTGCAGATATTTCGATAATCTTGGGTTTAAATATTGCTGGGGACAACAATTCTTTAAATCTGGGAATGGTAGGCATTGGGAAAGCGCTCTAGAACTGCAATCTTTTCTATCAGGGGAGATATTTTAAACTCTTTACATTTTATTTTTAGTTAATTGTTACTTTGTGTTGCTCTTATTTATAAAAAAAATGGAAATACATTTCTGAAGCAATTCTCAGGTTTAAATGTGCTTACCTAGTTAACTTGCTGGATTGAATCTTAGGAAGCATGTTTGTGTAACATTATGGTATGACATTGCATAGGTATAATTGGATTACATGATTGCTCGTTTGTCTGAATTGATGTTGTGAAATTCTGATAATGGTTGAGGTTAATTTTCATGAGTCTATGTTGATACCACAGCTTGTGAGGTTTGAGCTTAAACACTGAAATTTCTTGTTGAGAGACCTCACTGTTGTAATACTCTAGAAATTGATTTGTTTCTCTGTGATACATGCATTGGTTGAGATGATTAAGGCATTTTGTTCTAGTTAGCCTATGGCCAAAATAGCCCACCTGTCTGAAAAATTTCCATTGCTATCCTCTTGAGCCTGAGCATATTTTGTTGATAAAAGACCTGTTGGCCTGATTGATGGCTTAGCTTATATCCATGTGACTTACCTTGTTTGAGATTGAATTACTAATATGTTGAAAACAAATAAAGAACTTGAGGTAAGCTCCACAAAGGTTAAGTGATAAGGGGTTGTGTTAAAAAAAAATTACTTATGCATAAAAGATGGCTGAAAGGAATTAATTCCCGAAATTCTGTGGGAATGTTAGTGGAGCAAGACCATTGAGTTGAATGTGTTCAAGTGTAAAAATATCAGTTTTTCAATCTCATTGTTGTTTTGAGCTACTATCCATATATTCCTACCCTTTAACCCGGCCAAGATAAAACATGTGAAGTCCTTTTGATCAACTGGTGCATGTGTTTAATTATTCATTTTTAAGAATTTAATAATAAGAATTTAATCATAAAAGAGCATTTTCTGTATATTAATTGCTTTTATTATTTAGTTTTTCCATTTCAGTGTATTTCTCATAATTTTTACAGGTTAAAGCAAAAAGAAATAGGAAATTGCGAAAAATTGAAAAAGGAAAGTGGCGTTACACGAGCCAGTTTGGCGTTGTTGCAGTGCCGACTTCAGCAAAGCAGTACAAAGACCAGAAAGTTGGCGAGGGTGCAGCGCCAGTTTGGCGCTACCCGCGCGAGAAATCAACTTAGTGTAAAATGTTGGCGCTGGTGCCGCGCCAGTTTGGCGATACCCGCGCGAACTTCAGCGTGGAGGTAAATTCCAAAATTAAAAAGGACGTTGTGAGGGCTTTTTCAGGATACTTTTGGACGACGGAGCAAAACAAGGATTCGTGAGGGAGGAGAAGACCAGAGGATTGTTCTTAATTTCTCACTGTAATTACATTCTTCATCTTTATCTGTTATAATATTATGTCAGCTATG